TAGAATCAGCTGGAAACAAACTCCCTGAGTCAGACAGTACCCCAAAGTACCGCCTTTCTGGGGGGGTCTTCCACAAACAGAGACTCGTCAGCCCTCACGTTCATCTCACGCCGAAATGGAGCATCCTCAGCCCCAGCATGACAAAGTATAGGGCGAAGATGGACATCAATGGGAACCTCAGAAAACTCAGTAGCCCTAAAAGGGCGGAAAGTACCTCCAGCAGAGATTGAGGTAGCAGACAAGGGGTTCTCAAAAGCATCACTCAAGAATTGGAGAACACAATGATTAAGTTCACTGGAATTCTGAGTGTCAATGCCCCTATCAGCATTCCCACTAGGTATCCCAGTGTTAGCAGAATGAGAGGCAAAGGGATCAACTCCAGAGGAGGTACGAGCCTTCTTTGTAGCGGGCTCATCCTCAGCAGAGGCGGAGGTCACAGGATCATCCTCCAGGTCGATGACTGGCTGATTCTGCTTGTGAACACCCCCTGCCTAAGAGTGCCCACCTCTGGAGGCACTTCGGAGCCGCCCTCTCGGTCCAGTAGGGCGCGGCGGAAACTTGGGAAGCTCCATGATAGTTTCATCGGGAAGCTGGAAATTAGCAGCTTCAGTAGAAGGATCAGAAGTGTCCTTTGCAGCAGTAACATTGTCAACATCAGAAGGAAAGAGAAAAACATGCTCAACGGAAGGATTGGGCTTTGAGCCCGTAGCGGTAGTTTCATCCTCATCAGAGGAAACTTGAGAACACTATCCGCAAAGTCATCAGCGGTAGTCTTTGGATCATCAGAAGCTTGATCACGTTGCCTTTTGGCAACAGAGGTCTGAGGTGCCACCCGGCCGGAAGCCGCAACAGGCTGTTTCTCAGGAGAAGCACCATGTGCCACTAACGCCTCATGTTCTGAAGTCGTTCTTCAAGGGGCAGTCTGAGTCTCACGCCTACTCCAAATAATAGAGGATGAAGGCTTAATTTTAGCCCGGCTGGACCCTGCGCGGTCAGCAGCAGTCACAGTACTGAAAACAGCCCGCAGCTTAGTGGGAGCCAAACGTACTTCATTCTTCAGGGAGCCAGCATACACCTCCAGTGTGTCTAAGAGCTCAAGAGGATTTTCAGGAGTAGCAGTTAAAGGGTCTCTCCAGTTATTAGCCAGCCCAAGGATACTCTTGTCCAACTTGTCATAGCCTGAAAAGAGGAAAGACAAGAATATAAAACAACGTAAATTAAAGAACTAAGACAAAGGAGGAAAAAGAAAAGGAAACAAAAGAAAGCCAAGAAACCTACCAGACTCATGTGTACGGCACAAACGCATAACAGAGAGCTGCTCGTTACCCACAATGTATATGGAGTTGGGCAGCCAGATCTTGGGAAATTTAGAGTCACCAGTCCACGCACCCTGCAAAGCATTAAAAGCCTCTGTCTCATGGGCAGACTCACAGGGGGAGACAGTAACTCCAGCCATGTTAGTACGGATTTCCCTGAAGTTGCGTGGCGCAGAAAAAGTGGAGGGCTCCTTCACCTAGAAAAACTTGCCAGTCTAGTCCCTGAAACGACCAAGTTTTGGGTAGGACAAGACCCTTCCCTCCTTAGGAGGAACATAATACCACCCAGACTCGGTCCCAGAAGCAGACATCATCAGGTTCATTAAAGACTTGAACAAGTGCAAGTACTCAGGGTACCTCCGAAACCGTAGAAACCACAGCAGGAAAATCAGAGTATGAAGAGAAGCTGGATGTAGCAGGGAAATACTGATATTGAAGGCACAAAACACCTTCTCCAGAGTTGGGTCAAGAGGAAACCATAGACCCAAGTCCAGCTGAGATGCAAACACAACAATGTGCCCATCAGGGGGAGTAGATAGCTTCGCACCGTCAACGGGCAAGACCAACTCGTAGCCCTCCCCAAAGCCATAAAAATTCTGCCCAACAGAAGCAAGGTTCAACCTTTTAGCATCCTTGCGCCAGAGAATAGGTGGGCTGACAATCAAAAAGAGAATGATCACCTAGGGACTCAATCATCCTGCTTGTTTGAACAGCTGGAGAGGGAGATGGTGATGGAGTATCAATACTGCCACCCCGCACTACATAATGGTCAAACAGATTCATATCAGCCATGTCATCAAGCCAAGCAAAATTGTTTAAAGGCTGAACATGGGAAATGGGACTAACAAGAGACACGTCACGGGGATTAGCCTTAACGGCATCAGCTAACATCTTATGTCGCATTGCGCGCAGCCTTAAATGGGTAAGGTGGGACAAAGGAATCCCATCCTTAACAAGCACGCGCTCGCAGTAGGGATCAAAGAAATCAGGGCGAGGCTTGCGCTGGAAAGGGCGACAGGCATTACCCTTAGCGGGACGACTACTGCCCGACCCAAACGCATCAGTAGCTGTCGCAGCAGTACCCGTCCCGCTCGCCTGACCCAAACGCATCAGTAGCTGTCGCAGTAGTACCCGTCCCGCTCGCAACGGGGGGACAGGGAAAAGGCATAACCATTTGTATAGGAGTGGGGGAAGAAGAACGAGAAACAGGAGGAGTGTGCGCAGGGTGCTCACCTGAAGGAGATGATCTGGAAGTAGAATCCGATTCAGTGGCCACTCGAGGCTCACTTATGTTGTGACTATCAGAAACGTCGGACATTATGAAATCTACAAAGACAAAAAGCCCACGAAGAGAAGAAAAAGCAATGGGGCGCCGAAAATCGAAGATCAGTTTAAGGAGACAAGAACAATGAAGGGATAAAGGGGAAAGAACAAAGAATGAAACTACAACAACAAAAGGGATAAAAATTGGGCAATGGCAATTAGGGAGAATCAAAAGATACAACCTTGGTTAGCAAAACGCAAAAAGAGGCGAAATTGGGAAAATACATACAACAAAAAGGTACAAAGTAAGTACCTTTAGGAGAAAAAGTTGCAGAAGCAACAGAGTATGACAACAATGGCGGACGCAAGAACCTAAACAAAACAAAGTTCGAAACTGAAGTAAAAAAAAGACAGAAGAAGAAGCTAATTAGTAAAGAAGTAAGAGCGGAAAAATAAAAGAGAAAAGCGAGTATGGCAGAAAGTTGAAGCAAAAACAAAGGCGAAGAAAGCAGAAACATACCACAACGATGGAGGAACACGAGCACCTGAAGAGGAGAAATGAAGAGCGAAGATTTTGAAGTGAAAAGTAATAAAGAAGGGAAGACGAAAAAATAAGGGAAGTAAAAGAAATGAGTAAAATGTGGGGAACATTGAATTTAATATGGAGTAAATGGGCAGTTGGAAACGAAGCAAAGCCAAACCGCCATGTTACTTCAGTAAATTCAAACTGACGGCCTGGATCATCAACACGTGTCCCAGCCATGCAAATATCATTCCCGCCAAAAAAAAATAAATAAAAATAAAAAAACATGCACTTCAGCGGGAGTGATCGAAATTCCTCTCCGCAAGCTCGTTATTTCTCAGATTTCGGCGGGAGTTATCGAAATTCATCTCCCCAAGCTCGTCATTTCTTAGACTTCAGCAGGAGTGATCGAAATTCCTCTCCGCAAGCTCGTCATTTCTCAGATTTCAGCGGGAGTGATCGAAATTCCTCTCCGCAAGCTCGTCATTTCCCAGACTTCAGCGAGCCCTGCGGTCCAAGCAAGTCACAGTCGAATGTGCATCCAGCAGGCAGAAACAGAGCCAACACAAAATTCAAACGACAACAATGGCATCGTCATCAAAAACAGGACCTGCCTCCCAAGTCTTCGGATCGCAGCAACAACCCAGAGACTTGAGGGGCTAGGAGTGTGCAAGATAATTCAGCTAGACGACCCATTAAGCCACAGCCGATAAGGCTACACGCTCAGAATAGCTGGCATGAATAAACCTCACGCCATCTCTTGGGGGGCTAGTCGTAGGGGATAGCTCCTACTGAGCTATTCCTTCCAGTTGGGCTCAATTAAGAAGACTACGCTGCATATGAAAGAGTCTGCATGAGTGATCTCATACCACCTCTTGAGGGGCTAGTTGTATAGGATAGCTCCCGCTGAACTATCGCCCAGCTCCCAGGGTGCGCACTCACTGCCGAGAAAGCACTAAGAAGGGCTCTCCAGCCTGATAGAGTCAGCCCGCAGGGGTGACTAGGCTAGACTCTCCATAAAGGAGATAGTACGCCTATAAATAGAGGGTAAGGTACAGCGGAAAAGAGGTTAGACACTGAAGTTATTGTACTTTCTATATCTCTCTAAGTACACTTTCTCTCTCTAAACACGCGCTAACTTAAGCTTCGGAGGGGGGTTCCTCGAGCCACCCCTGAGGGCAGTTTACGTATGCTGTCGCGTGTAGGTTGTCGACGGGACCCAGCTCACCCAGCAGAACCCTTGGATCCACACCTGGAACAGTAGCATCCTAGCAATTCCCTTGAGCTCTAAAGCTGGTCCGGACCTTCTCACTTGGGCGTTTTCATTTGATGGATGCTACTCTGTAAAAACCGCTTACATGCTCGATAAGCCGTGTAATCTTGATCTTTTCCACAAGTCTTGGCTGGACATTTGGAGCTTAGATGTTACCCCAAAAGTACGGCATTTTCTATGGCGATTATGCACAGGTACTCTCCCTGTAAGGGATTATCTGAAATACCGACACATGGCCGAACACTCTGACTGCCCCTGGTGCCGTGGCATGCTTGAAATTGTGCAGCATGTATTCTTTGACTGTCCTACGGTCCGTCAGCTGTGGGTGGATTGCGAGTGTATAGAAATGTCCCTTTGGCCTAACAATATGTCCTTTCTGGATTTATTTGAGTCTTGGTGTAAACTTGATGCAAAAAAGGTAAGTAGGGGAGTCATCTTAATGTGGAATTTGTGGGAATAGACGAAACGAAATGGTTTTTAATGGAAAGGAAGTCTACCACCCCTTAATTGCTGAACGAGTCTTTCGTCTAGCTTCTGAGTGCAACTCCTATACAAAGAGAATTTATGGGCAATTAAGAAGACCACCTGTCGCAGCCCGAAATCCTGGAAAGCTCCACCTGAAGGTATGGTTAAGCTCAATTTCGACGCTTCGCTTAGTGTTGGAGGGTGGGTGGGACAAGGAGTCACTGCTAGAGATTGGAGAGGAGAGGTTCTTTTCGCTGCTACTCATCGGGTGACAGCTCATTGGCCACCAATCACTGCCGAAGGGAAAGCTGCTGCCATGGCTATTAAATTGGCTATAAGCCACGGGCTAGTTGACATTATTATTGAAGGTGACAGTCAAGTGCTTATCAACCGCCTGTCCAAGGCCTCAACTTTCTTCACTGATCTTGATAATATCCTTGATGATATTTTAGCTTCTTGTTCTTCTTTTAATTCCGTTTCTTGGTGTCACGTTAAGCGGGATGAAAATGTTGTTGCTCACAATTTAGCCCATTTAACACCATTTGGTATAGAGCAAATTTGGGAGAACCATAGCCCTTGTAAGGTTTCTCCGTATGTAATGATGGACAAATTATCAATATAATAACACCTTAACGGGTTTTCAAAAAAAAAAGTAACAAGTGGTCAACACTATAATTCATGGTCAACTCCCGAAAAATGAAGGTCTTACAACCTACATCGCATAAAAGGTTCTATTTGCCACTTTTTAAAAATCAAAGTAGTGTATTAAAAACTACTACTGCCATTTTTTAAAGTTGACATTTTTTTACTTTAATACAATTCAAACCATTTTCTTTGACCTTGTATTGTGATTTATACCTTATGACAAAAGGTAACTACAATATGTGAGATTTTGTTATATTCGTCACGATATATATTTTTATGTTTATGGGTAATTAAAGGTGTTAATGATTGAATTTGTACATTAATAAATGTAACTAAAGAAACGTGTCAAGTAAAATGAAGAAATACGAAAAAATAAAGGAAAATGTTAGTAATAGCCCTAACACTTATATACGGTGTATAAAAAGTTAAAAAAGGAAAGTATTAACAAAATATATTTATTAATTACATTTATTTGTGCGTGATTTTGTCATGCATTCCTAAACTAATACGAGTACTATAAAAAAGGAAAGATATTTAATGCTTAGGGCTGCATATAGCATTACCCAAAAATAAATGGTGCAATAATTAAGTCAGGTAGAAAAATATTCAGGGAATATTTAGTAAGTCCTAATTAAAACCACATTGATATCTGTTGACACCTACAACTCTACAAGTTATGACTCTTCAATTCTGGCATCAGTCAAAGAGTAACAAACAACCTTTAGTTGTAAAGACTAAAGAGGATGCAATCTGCCTACAGTCATTTCGGCCATGATGGTCCTGATTTTTTTTTTTTTTTTTTTTTTTTTTTTTTTTTTTTGGCCTTCCTGTATCAGACTTGCAACTTGCAGTAAACAAAAATAATTTTTTTTTAATTTTTTTAAGAGTACTGTGACAGCACCGTGCTTCATCTGCATATCAGTCAACCAGGCTTAATAAATCTCGAGATATTTGTTTCAAATTAGTATATCCGAAACATATAGTCATGTTGATGGTTAACGATAGATTAGTCTGACAACTAATTTCGGACAAATGATTGTTCTTTCTTTCTTGGACAAATGAACCATCCAACATTGAGTCACTTCTTTCAACTTTTGTTTTTAGAAGTGTGTACGTAGACAGTCGTTTTGGGCTTTTGGCAGTACAAAATCTGATTCCCAGCACTAACATTATAGGTCGTGAGATACTCAATACTTTTTTCTACTTTCTCATATTTGTTGTCTGATTCTTTAGTGTATAACTAAACAAACACCCATTTATAATTAGGGGGAAAAAAAAGATTGTATGGATTCAAAGAGATTATCTACTTTAATGATCATGTTAGGGAGCAATTTTCTTCTCCCTAATATTTATACTAATCTAATTCCTATTTCTTATCTCAACAAACCACAACATATATATTCGGATGGTGGGTTCCGACCTGTCTGCCTGATGTATTCTGCTTGTGCTGCAGTTCTTTCTGCATGACGCTTTTTTTGGGCTTCAGCTGCTAGTCGTTTTTCTTCTGATTTTTTCTTAGCCATGGCAACTTTTTTCATCATTTTTGCGTGAGAGTGCGTTCTCAGTCGCTCAACTTTTGCCTGATGACCATATTCATAGCAATACAACAGTAAGCACTAAAATGAAAATGGGTACAAATCAGAAGCACTAACAAAAAAAAAATATTATTTGAAGTTTAGTTTAAACTGAAGATTCATCGCTTTTACAGTTCCACACAACAGTTGAAACTAATGGCAATCATTTTACTAAATCTAGATTAAATAAACGATTGTGCAGTTTACGATTTGATTTGAGCAAAAAGCTACGGTTGGCAGGTGTACCTCTATTCTTCGCAGCTCTTCCTCCAATTTCGCTTTTTGTTGACTCTCCCAAGCTTGGATTCGGATTTCCTCGCGCTTGTACCTAAATATTGCATCAGCAGTTACTGATTAGATAAGCTTGGATATCGATTTTTTTTATTTTAGACAGGCAACATCAGGCTATGATCAATCCTAAGACCAAAAAAAAAATTTAAGCATCAACCCCTTGAAAAAACAGTATATAAGTCCAAGTGTGCAATATAAGAGACCTTGCAGCATGCTTTGCTTTTTCAGCCTCTTCCCATGCGGCAGCACGTTTCTCATTTTCAATATGTTCAAGTTCCTCAGGGTCATTGAAAGGCAAAGAGCTTTTGTCTTTCTCATCTTTACTTGCCCAAGCAGCTATATTCATCTTGCCAAGCTGAACACCAAGGGCTACAATCTCTCTCCTTGTCTTAAGCTTCAGCTCTTGTTCTGACAACTCTTTATCGGTTTTCTCAGTTTGATGTCGTGTTTTATTATCAGATGTACGTTCCACCGGAGTAGACACTGGTTCTCCTGTTCGAGGAGTTGATGGAATGGATGATGTGGGACTGCGAAGTGGGGTTAAAGACCCATTTGGGGTGGCTGTCCTTGAAGGCTCTTGACTCGTGACTGGCGTCATTTCTGTTCCCATGTCCCTCATTGAAATCTCTCTAATAGCAGGGCCACCTACATAGTATGACAGTCGACAGGATTATGTATATGGCTCGTTTCAATGTACCAAACAATCATTAAAAAGGCCAAGGTAAGAATAGTTAGAAAATATATAAAAGCAGGATTTTTCAATTTTTCATCAAACTACACTGAAGACAGTAAAAGGCAAAATGAATATACAATATTATTCATTTATTCATGCTTCATTATTCCAAACCACTAGGCACTAAACATCTAGAACAACTATTGCCAATTAATTTACTCAGGAAATTCATAACACAATCGATAATAAAGAATAATGCAGAGTAAAAGTTTGCAGGGCACAATTCAAATGAATCAAAACTCATATACATATATAATTATTGAAATATTTAAGACAAGATTGTTACCAGGAACCTCATGAGCTGAATTCACCACATTGTCAACTTCCCTTAGATCCTTGCTTCGAGTATACAAGTCTACAGGAATGTTTATACCATTTGATTGAACCGGAACAGATTGCAACCCAGGGTGAGCCGGATTGAGCTTATCCAAGCTCATCTGACTTGTAGGGTGACAAAAATCAACGCGCTTCATTTCTGGCATTTTAGGATTTGGACGGTATTCAAAGCTAGCAGCCTCTGGAACCACTCTAACCATATTCATTCCTGACACGCGGTGCCCTCCATTTTGCAAGCTAAGGCTCTTTGATTGACTACCCTGACCTGCTTGCTTGCTCATTATCCATTTTTCAGCATCATTCCACTTGTATGATGTAGGCCTAGAGAGTGACCGCGTTAAGGATCTATGTGCCATTCTTTCCCCTTTATGGAACTCAAAGCTCGACGAACTAGCATTACTGTCATAATCAAGATTCTCGTCATCATTACATTTTATGGGGTGGACTGCACTCGAATTGATGCTATCACTTCTTGCCAATTGCTGCACCTTAACATGACTCGAATCCATGTTTTCTCTTGGTGAGCAATGATTCTGAATCTGTAACGAACTTGAAATCATTTGGCCACTCAGTTTTCGTTGGGGGTCTTGGGTTACAACTGTTACTTAAGCAAATCCGAAATCAGCAGCATATCAGTATACTGTAAAGATTTCATTTACGAGTACTAATCTACAAAAGGTGGCTAAGTTTGAATCATTCAATTCCTGAACAAAGTACTGTAGTTATCAAGGCTAATTTTAGCTCCAACACCAAAGACAGCAAACAATCCTACAATATTAATGCTTAAATAACTTTATTTCAACTCAATATGCCAGATTTTGATGGTCAAAGATAACTAAATCAACTCAATTTTTACACAATATTAATGTTGTAGCTAAATTAATTTTTCAAGCTACTTTTTAGTGAAAAAAAAAGCAGGAAATCACTATCATTCTTGCAATGACATAGTGAAAAATAAAAAAAAAAAATTACCCAAATGGTACTCGTAATTTATAATACTCCTTCCGTCCAAAATTAGTCAATAACTATTCCAAAAATCTCAAAATAGTACAACTAATTTATACGAAGTAATTAACAATAAACACATACACACCTGAATCATAAGAATCAGCATCATTATTGGAGGAAAGCAAGCTGTTGTTAAACTCGGAATCTTCAAGTTTTGAAGGAGATGTTCTAGAGGAATTACAATTTGACCCATCTTTTTTCTTTTGAATAGATACTCCCATTAACTTTGCTCTCAATTTACTAGGAGATAATTTACTTGGAGATATAATACCTGTCTGCAATACCCAAAAAATCACACTTCATTATTAGTAAAAAAAATAAATAAATAAATAAAAATAATCGTACTCGTATGACCACTTTCCCGATTAAATTGTCACCTTACTGATTCAAATTTTACAGCATCAACACGACAACTAATTTTGAAAACCGATGACGCTCAAAAGGGCTACCAATAATTACACAATATCTGAGAATCTTGTAAGTCAAATTCAAATATTTTTCCCACCTAACCAAAGTAATACGGAGTAACAAAAAAAAGGGATACCTGAGGTTTGTGAATACGTTCGTACTCCATTAGAGTGTATGAATGATAATAATGTGTTTGTTAGTGAGTTTAGAAGTACTGTTTGTTATTCCTGTAATAAGGAAAGAAGAGAGAGAAAGTAAAAGAGGAGAGAGAAAATGAGTATTGTAATTGTTGGGGGGAGGAGAGAGAGAATGTGAAGTGGATTGGATGACAAAAGAGAGAGGATATATGGGGGTGTGTGTTTGTGTTTAATTAAGGGAAGCCGACACGAGTTGAGAGTGTGAGAGTGAGAGGGTACCAATAAGTGGGTCGCATTTCTTTTGACTGCCTAATCATCCCTATGACTTCCATCCTCTTTTTTTTTCTTTTTTTTTTTTTTTTTTTTCTTTTTTTTTTTACACAAATACTCCGAATTTTATCATGGAGTTGGAGTAGTGCTTTGCTTTACTTTTCTTGTGTGATTGTATTTTATACTACGTTTATTTTTAAATACTTGTTTTTTTTTTTATTTGAAAAGTTTTTACAATATTAAATTAATTTATTTTACTTAATGAACCAACCATGATCATATTTTTTTAATTTTATATTTTCTCTATTCCAATTCTCTCCACTACTAATGTTTTTTACTCCCTTAGTTTTTAAATATTTGTTCAATTTCTCCATACGAGGTGGAAGAATAATAAAATATGGAGGTAGTGGGATTGGTGGAAGAATAAAAAAAATGTAAAAAAAAAACCAAAAATAGCAAAGAAAATTGAAGGAGAGAGAATATGGAATTAATATTGTTGGGTCCACTTATTGAGAGAAATTAATTAAATATTGTAAAAACTTTTTAAATATGGAAATGAAACAAGTATTTAAAAATGACCAGAAAAGGAAAGTGGAGCAAGTATTTAAAAATGGAGGGAGTATAAATTTTTATTCTTTCACCTACCCCAGTCCCTTCATATTTTATTATGTTTTCCAATTTCTCCTAAAACTCTGCGCATGAAGAAATAAAGCAAGTATTTAAAACGGAGGGAGTAATTATTTTATCTTCTTTAATGAAAATTTCACATTTCATTCCCTCCGTTTTTAAATACGTGCTTCATTTTTACTTTTTGCATTATTCATTTGTTCTATATTGACTAAAGTTTGTGATTTATTGAGAAAATTATAATCTTGTGGGTACTTGTTTGAATTGTCTCAATAAATAGATTATTAATTTTCAATTGTTAAAATTTATACTTATTATAATTGAAGATATCATGAACGAAAGATTAGCATCGACATATGTGCCCAAGAGAAATAGAGCAAGTATTTAAAAAAACAAGAAGGACTGATTTCATCTCTCCTAGTGAACCTTTCAATTGTTACACTTTAGTGCTCGTATTTCTAGATTCTTTCTCCTCCCAACTATCATACTTTATTCTTCTACTAACTTCACTTCGTTCTTATTTAACTTGTTATAATTTCTTCTAAAACCCCGCACATAGAGATATGGAGCAATTTATAAAATACAGAAAGAGTAATGAAAAAAAAAAAAAACTTTGAGAATATATACTACCTTCGTTCACATTATACTCCCCCCGTCTCAAATTACTCGCAACGTTTTGACTTTTTGCAATATTCGCACATCTCACTTTGACCATGTTTTCTAGTTATTACTCCCTCCATTTTCAATACTTGCTCTACTTTTCATTTTCGATCGTTTTTAAATACTTGCTCCATTTCCTTATTTGGAAAACTTTTACAATATTCATTTCTCTCAAGTAGTGGACCAAACATAGTCATATTTTATTAATTACATATTCTCTATATAATGATTGTTGGTGTAGGGAGAAAGAGAATGATTTTTAGTGCCCCGAAACTGCAGAAATCAGGTTTGTATTTATAGAGGAGACGAACAAGGGGGGTGCACGGAACCCTAGAAGAGATAAGAGCCGCAGAAAAACCCTAATTGGGCACCGTAAAACAGTATAGTCCACTGTGGGACGGTGAAGCACACTGTGTCGCGGTGTATAATTTGTCTAAAGATGCGTCCAGATTCATAAGCGCGTGAGAAAAAACGCGGAACAGACTCAGGAAAGCACCGTGACATTGTGAAAATTATCGTGTCACATTACTCGGTACAAGGCACCATGCCACGTAGGCATGCACCGTGGCGCAACATTTTAGCTGTTGCGCGGTAATTCCAGTTTTTTACGCGTTTTAAAACTATGATAACTTTTGATCCGTAACCGGAATAAGGCATATAATATATCATTAGAAATCTTATCAAGTATACTTTCCAACCCAATTATAATTGGGTCAAAATTATTTGTATATTTTAAGATATGGTGAAAGGGTGTCGGTTTTGGGCCGAGTTTAGTATTTTTCTCATATCTTCTTCGTTTTAGATTGAAATTAGGCTTATCCGTTGGAATTCTTATTGAAAGGCCTTTACAACCAAATAATAATTGGATGAAAATTATAGGGCCATAAAATCAGTTCAGCTCGGTTTTGTGATGTGTACACGAAAACTGGAAAGTGAGTTATGGTTTAGGGAAATGGGCTAAACATTGGGTTGGTTTATGAAATTTATTGAATGGAAATATGGATTTAGCACTCCAAAGGTTAGATACTCAACCCGACCAATAACGGCGGTGAAAGGTTGCTCATCACCGAGTTTGGTTTCGGGGAGACATTTTTAGGTGTCTACAGCAGCAAAGAGTAGTTTTTGCGGACTCTTAGGCAAAAGATCTTAAGAATAATTAGTGAAAAATAAGGGCATATTGTAGGCGTCGCTCGAAGTGCGCCTACGTTAAAGCATGTGTGAATCTGCTTGGCACTCATAGGAAGTGGGGATTGATAAGGGACACGATTAGGGACAAGGAAAGTAGGGAGTCGCTAACAAGTTTTTAAGGAACTTGTAAACCGTTCACGGATCATAAAAGGCAACCACGATAAAGGGACAACGAAGGCAACAATAATTGACCCGTGAAGGTTACACCCCATTCATAATCCATGAGATTACTAACTCCATATGGTTCGGAACCACGAAAGGAGGATCGGGGATGATGGTACGAAGTGAGTCATGGAGTCACATTCGCCCGTATTGGCCTCTACTCGATTCTTATAGTGAAAAGTGATCCCCGCGATCTCAAAGGCATACAAACAAAATATTCAATTTGCTCCAAACTATTATTAGGCTAAATTGGTTGAATATTAATGCAACATATAATTCTAAAATATTTGTGATCACTTGAATTAAATAACAAGATTAAAAAGGAACCTAAACCGGTTGTCCAAATTATCTTATTAGGCGTTGTTTTCAATTACATATTCCCTTTAAACATGCAATATGGCGATCATAAAAAATATAATAGAATAAACATTAATATTGGAAGCAATTCAACGATAATTCCAACAATATAAAATCGTTAGAAAAGTAATAGAACTAAGAGGAACATAATTCTTACTTTGATTCTGTTTGTTTGCAACTACAAAATAATAAACGAGTTAGTAACGTCAAGGAAATAATAATAAAACAACAATTAAATTAAATTAAACAAAGTAGAGTTGATTTGGGGCCAAACCCTCAAACAGTTCTACCTTTCACGCCTTGGCTTAAGGACAGAATCACGAGTAAAGTATGGACTCTTTGGAGTACTTGAAGAAGGATTTTTGAAGTAAGAAGGGTAGGCTAGTGTTTAGGCTAAATCATAGAAGAGAGAGAAATAAACTCAAGAATTAATTGATGCCCCGTACATCAGAAATGAGGGGGTATTTATAGAGAAAATGTGCTGAGGGAGCACACGAAACCCTAAAATGATAAAAACCCTAAAAAAGTATCCCGCGACACGGCAATCGTACGTGACATGGGAAGTCCCACCGTCAGATGGGAAGCTTTCACGTGACACAGTATATTTTTGGTGTGACGCGGGAAATTTTCAGTAAACGGGGAAGAAAAAGCGTCAAGGATTTACGCGGAAAAGCCACGGAATTTCCCGTGTCACGGCAGATTTCCCGTGTCACGGGAAATCCCACCGACAGACGGGAATGATTTCCGTGACACGGTGGGTACCTGCCGTGGCGCGGGAATTCCTAGCCCGCTTTTCCGTCTAAATACATTTTTAACCCTAATTTCATTCGGCATTTTAAGTGCCGATTGATAATTTCGGGCCTTTTCTGATTTATTATTATTTGGGCTAAAATATGAAAAATAATTAAATAAAATAAATAAAAGGTTTGGGCTAAAAATTAAATAATAAATTTGGGCTGAAATTAAAACTATGCTTTTACCAAACATCAAGACTAGTCCATGGACTGTTCAAAAATATGAATTTAATCAAATACGATTTTTTAAGCACTCTCGGGATTAAATACTGAACCCGACCAATAGTGGCGGTGAAAGGTTGTTCATCATCGGGTTTGGTTTTGGGGAGACATTTTTAGGTGTCTACACATATACTTAAGTATTAATCCAGCCCTAAAAAAAAGATAAAAGAAATTCAACCAAAATTAAAGAAAAAACCTACCAACATTAGCCCCACTCGGCAGCACCGAAACCACCCACCACCACCACCACCACCACCCAACACACCGAAAAAACCCAGCACCACCACCCCAGTACACTTAAAAAACTCGACACCACCACCGAGTACACCGACCAACTATTATTTTATTATTTCTCTTATCCTACTAATTCCGCTTTCACATATATTTTATTATTTCTCTTTCTTACCAACCCCACTTAGGCCATGTTCAATCACTTCACCTTACAAAAAATAATATTCAGTATTTTAGTTTAGTAAAAATAAGCTTAGTTTAGTAATAATAATTTCTATTCAATAAAAATAAATTCAGTTTTGTAAAAATCAGTAACTTGAAAGAATAGAGGATAAACAAAAATAATTTCATTTCAACAAAATTAATTTCAGTTTAGTAAAATTAATTTTAGTTCAGAAAAAATATTTAAGTTCAGCAAAAATAATTTCAGTTCGGCAAAAATAAAGTGAAGTAAATAGGGCCTTTACATTACCTTTTTATTACTTCGCATTTCTGTTTCCTAGCAACCCTACTAACATTACCTTTTTGTTATTTCTCAGTCCTATTAACTATACTTTATAGTTTATATCTATTATAAATAATTCACTTGTAACCCTCGAGTTAAGATAACAAATAGGGACTCATCTTTTTTTCTTTCACTCTTTAGGGATTCAAGTGGTAAAGGGTTAGCTATAGTTAGTTGTGGGGCCCACTAGCTTTTCAACTCACTCACAAAGTCACAAACACTCATCTTTCTCTTCCGTTACCAATAGAATTACAATAAGTAGTACTACTTAACATAGTCTTCATCCGCTGTAGTTCATCTTCCAAAGCATGTTAGTTCTCATGCAAGCCACCATCTCATCTCTTATCTCATTTGGATATGGATGGTCAATCCATCGAAAAAAAAAAAACCCATTATGAAATTCTCACATATGTAGCTAGAACCTCATAAATGGGTGCTTGAGAGTATTGGAAACCCTTTTTTTGGCCAGCCTATGACAATGATACATGATCTGATTTGGTAACAT